TGCGTTTCCTCACCTGTGAGGTGGAATGTTTACAGTATTCAGTGTGGAGGAAATGCTTATTCTACTGTTGGCTTTTTGAATAAGGCTTGGCACGTGGTTAGCGCCTTGTTTACATGGGTTGTACCAGAGACTTCTCCTTTCAGTAAGATGAGAAACATCAAATTAAGATCATCTGACACCATCCAAATGCAGTGTTTAACTGAACCATACTAAACACACACACACACACACACACACACACACACACACACACACACACACACAAAATGCCAACAACTCAGAATTCTGTTCCTCTTACATTTTTTAAGGTTTATTTATTATGTATACAGGGTTCTGTCTGCATGTACCCCTGCAGGCCAGAAGAGGGCACCAGATCTCATTACAGATGGTTGTGAGCCACCATGTGGGTGCTGGGAACTGAACTCAGGACCTCTGGAAGAGCAGCCGATGCTCTTAACCACCGAGCCATCTCCCCAGGCTCCCCTCTTACATATCACATGCTCATGCTGATCCGTGGCATGAGCCTGGAAGACAAGAGAACTCCCCACCAGCCAGGAATCCTGCAGCGAGAAGCAACAAGGTGGCCTCTTGTAATCCCGACCCACAGCTCAAGGGCTCAGTCCTCCAAATTCACTGCATGCTAGATGCTAACGTAAAGTCCCGGGTTATGTGGCTATAAATCTGGGTTCCCCTGGCCCTTCCTCAGGCTCACTCTACTAGAGCAGCTCACGGAAGCCAGGTTAACACACACCTGTGTGTGCTGGCTTATGACAAAAGATACAGATGAAGAAATTCACTGGGCAAGACCATTCTCCGTTCTCCATGACCATTCTCCAGATGGGATGGAGTGGTTGTGAGGATGGAGCCGTCAGGACATAAGCATGCAGTGGAGCATGGAGCATGGGCAGCCATGTTGCAATGGGACAGACGGAACAGGGAGAGCCCAGCAATGCTCTCCAGATTGCTCCGGCTCTTTGTGCAGCCTAGCTTCCTAAGCAAAGAAGCAGGAACCCTCGAGAACCCGCGTTTTAAGCTACACTTCAGACAAGTAATTTACTTTTAATTTTATTAGCAGTACTTGTTTGACATAGAGCTGGAACTCAACCCAAGGTCTTCTCTGTTTTTCTAAATGGTTTTTATTTTTAACTTAGTGTGTGTGTGTGGGGGGGGAGATGGCATGTGAGTGTGGGTGCCCACAGAGGCCAGAGGCAAGAGAGCGACCAGAAGCTGGAGTTATATACAGGTGGCTGTGAGCACCCTGATGTGGGCGCTGGGAACTGAACTCGGTTCCTCTGAACGAGCAGTCAACACTCTTTTGAAGTGTTTTGAACCAGCTCTGCAGCGTAACATAAGATAGACAGAGAGCACATTTGCCTCCATGACCTGCCTAGGGGAGGAGAAATTCCCATTTCTATTTGTCTCATTTGTCTTGGGGAGGGAGTGAGGAGTCAAGAATCATGGAAGCATACATATTAAAAACATATATGTGTGGGTACAATATGTCTGTGTATATATATATACATGCACATATATTTGCACACATATATGGGTACTAGGTAACAGTCTTACTAAGAAAGAAAATATCATATGCATTCTTTTTTTTAAAGACAGGGTCACTGTGTAGCCCCAGTCTTAGAATTCACAGTAATCCCCCTGCCTCTGCCTCCCAAGTGCCGGATTGAAGTGTGCATCCCCGCGCCAGGCACCATATGCATTCTTGGTGCGAACCCGGAGGAGGGGCCCAGGAGCAGCTACAGGGCTTCAGTCCACTGAGTTTTCCAAGCGCTCACAGGGCGGAAGATCAAGTCCGCCAGAGAAAGGAGGAACTGTGAAGGTCGGGCAGACGCAGACAAGGCTTGTCCTGAACGGAAAGAGCGCCCGTCTCTCAGTGGGAAAACGAAGAAGAGAAGAGAGATGACTCCATGCGCCCAAGAGGTCTCTTTCTTGTCCTGTTTCCAGTGACACCTGAATGTCAAGAGACCCTCCCAGCCCACGCCCTGGCGATGCTGAGAAACCTCGGGAGGGATGTGGCGTGGCTACACTGGTCCAGATGGCCATCGGCCCGAAGGGAAAAACTGACGGAGAAAACAAAAAGACCCTGCTGCCTAGGGACGAGACGAAGGGAAACCTGACGCAGCAAAATGGCAGTCGTCACGGCTGAAAGGATCGAGAGGAGGAGGGTGAAGAGGATAGGAACGGAGATGAAGACATGTAAGTTGACTCCAGCAGGGCTTTTTTTTTTCCTTTGCTATAAACCATTTAACCCTCCCTATATACATCTCACCCTTTTTAATAAAAAAAAAAAAATGAAATGGGAAACTAAGACCTGATTTTAAACCGTACGGCGTCTTTTGTTATTTTGTTAACACACTAAAGAATGTCTTTTTAAAAAAACAAACAAACAGTAACCCAAACCCAGAAAGACAGTCATGGTATGTACTCACTCATAAGTGGATTCTAGATATAAAATAAAGAACAATCAGACCACAACCCATAGAACCATGGAGGCTATATATATAGCATGGAGATCCCTAGGACGACTGTGGCTTATAATAAATTTCGGTTTTACTCAA